GATTTCTATGGTAAATTTTTATACTTGTGTATTTATTTATAAACAAATTGTTTACCAAAGCCCGAAAAATAAAATTTAATGAATTTACCATATGACACTTGTTACTGAAAGTAGGAAGTAAGTACATATAAAAATATGTATTCTCTATTCTCTATATATTTATTTCTCTATAATTATTCTACTTCAAACATTACTCTTATTTGATTATGCAGTAAGCTATTAAGTTTATATCCTCTTTAAAAGACCCTTAACCGAAATTTACTTTGAGGTGACGTACAGCTTTAAAAACGATAAGGTTTTGAAAAAATCTTCTTGGTTTTTTGTTCGATAAAGGGTCAACCTCCTATTGAAAAGAAAGTATAGCAAAAGCACTAAGTACATATGACCAATTATACGTTCTGTTATAGTTTTTTTTCTTTTTCATGACAGAAAATGATCTACCAGGGCTTCTTTCTGCGATTAAAAGAATACTCAAAATCGTGAGAAAATTTTTTCATTACTGAAGAGTTCCATCACTGTACGAATCTTCCAATCGTAATTTTTACTCGATTTTACAAATAACATTAGGCTTAATAGCATCTATAATTGTTTCTAACTGTAACGCGATTCTCAGCGTAGCATTGGATCAACTTAATGTTCTTCTAGTCTATATTCTCGATCACAGAATCATAGATATCGTAAATAATTGTAAATCGGATTAAGTAGCTAGAAAATGCTACACATCTGCGATTCTTAACTGCTACGCGTCTCTGATAGTTATATCGACGTAATTTAATATTTCTCTGGTCTAAGTTCAAGATCAAAAAGATATAGCAGATAACTGCAAATCAAATGAATAAGTCAGAAAAAGCTTCACAATATCCAACACAACAGCAACGCAGATTAATCCCACTTGGGGCTTACTTTTTAAAGAATCTCATTTATTTGTAAAGTGAAAATTATATTGTGCTTAAAATAATACAAGGATTTGATTTAATTCAAAACTATATTGAATTTTAAGAGGCAAATAAATAACACGACCATCCTAATAGCGTAACCTAAATTACTCTAAAATATTAAAACATTTTCCACTTTGATTCCTTAATTCGAAGATGTACTACAATGCGTGCTCTGGGTCTGACTGCTTGTCCACTTTGATTCTTGCGTACTGACTATAGTTCATATTTTAAATGTAGTAAGAATATGTGCTATTTTACCTATAATTTGTATAACAATTATATATTACAATGTAATATTCGACAGAAGTGGTTCCCAAGTACTTGAGATCAACGTACATATTTTCTTCTAAGGACTTATTTTATAGTATTTTTTAAACAATATTCATTATTTTTATTTTTTTGCTTAATGTAGAATAAGTCGAATACCTACTATTAGTAAGGAAGTAAGATAGTTTTATCCAGTATAACATATAATCTTAGCATAATACGATAAGAGTTGTTTGATTCAGATGCTGTCATTAATTAACAATATAGATGGCTAGTTAGTTGACTGTTTGATAACATCGATAAGACTATTAATAAATTTTTTTCAGTTTACTGATTACAAGCTTAGTGCCACACAAATCCAGTTAATCTCACCAAATAATGCTCTGTAAGATGCTTCTTAGCGATCAGCCTCCACAAGCACATATAACAAAGTATATAATCCACTGCACCTTATACGAGTCAGATTAAGTATTTATAAGGTAGTAAATAATTAATTATTCTTATTTGTATAAATACTTGCCATATCAATAAAATCAAACAAAAAAATTTAATTATTCGTCAACAGAACAAATTGAAATCTGCCTACAATGACGGAAGTGGAAATTTAATAAACGAAATTGTCTCTGACTTACGTGATATGCGGGCATGAGATGTGATTATGAAGTGATTATGAAGTTTTAGCAAAATCTAAATAGTTGAAAATATTAATTATATATTGACAAAAATATTTTAATTACATGACTCTTTCGAATTGCAAATTCAGTCCGATCTTATGTTCTTAAACTGTTATCTATAATATTATACATATGTACTTTTAGTAGATGATATGATATTTTTTTATAAAAATTTTTAAAAAAATTAAAAAAATTTTTTCAATTATTAAATTTATCTTCTGAAACAATTGTTCTTATGCAAAATATTTTCTACAGATATTTAGTTAATAATTATTAACTTTTATTTGTATATATATTCAGATAATATCTGTCTAGATAATAACCAGTTAACTTTTTTATGATTCCAAGTGTTTTACGTTTCTTTGAGTCAACCTTATAAAAACGCGTTGCAAAATATCTAAAGTAAACAAAATTTCTCGTACCAGAAATTCCATATTTACCCAGTGAGCGCTTTCAGTTCAGAGACACTTTGAGAATGGTGTTAATAACATTTCATAGGTAAACAAAATTATATTGAATCAATAATAAATTAAACGCGCAATGGTAGAAATGTCCCCATAAGTTCCATAAACCACCATATCTTTGCCTCATTGATAATCGATATAATTTCAGATGAAACAAGGCAGTGTATGCTAATATTATCCATGACAATGGCATCGTAAAGGGTGAATGCCTTTAATGAATAATATTGGCGTCTATATATACGGATATAGTGATCCATCGTGACATTTTGGCCTGTAATGACTAAACTAAATAAAGTTGGCTGAAGTGATATAATATCATCTCTCTCCTTGAAGAATTGCATATTCTAACCACATACCGTTTCAGGAACGAAATATTGAGACGGAATTTTTTTAACTTACACTTATCCAGATACTACATAAAATATTCTGGACTCTAATAAGCAAGTGGAATGGATTTTGTCAGCACAAAAGATTAGAAAGATAGTATGTTAGATATATATTTCTATTCTAATCCACTTTTCGTTCAAATGCTGTGTGCGGGAGTTCAAGTAAATTGATGGTAAATTGAAGGAAACAGTAAATTATGTCGGTATGGCAGAGAATGTTAATATTTACCAGAATTTCGAGTAGGGTAAGTTAGATAAAAATTAGGTGTTACTATTGTGAAAATTTTATAAGATGTTTAATAAATAAATAAATAAATTTGAAAATTTTTAACCAAAAATAATAAATAAGTGCAAAAAATCATTAGAAAATTTCAGTTTACTTTACCTCAATTTACTCGAACTCACACACGGCCTAAATATATATTGTATACCACTTATGTAGGGCGGAGAACCTAATAGTTCAGTTCCTTATTCTTAGTTAACTTAAAAATTAATTTTAGTGAACTCACAAATAAATAAATAAATATATCACCAGTATTTTGAACATCGGACTACAATGTAGAATATAGAAAAATATAGAATGTAGTACTACGGCTTAGACAAATATTTCTTAATAATTTTAAAAAATGCTAAGCAGATTTATATCTAGCCTAGGTTTAGTTACTTGGTTTCGTCATTATTATTATAAAAGAACATAATACACAGCAACATTGAAGATCTATTGCAATATCACTGGAAGAAATCTCCTAAGCTAAGCTAACCTGGATTAATTAAATATATTTCCAAATTTAAAACTATTCCTTAGCTCTTAATTGCAAATCTTATTCGGTTCACAAGTCCATTGGAACCGTATTCGTTTTCAGCTTAACATTGTAAAAGAGAGATAAGTTGGGAGAACATTACAGTCAATGTAGGTAGGTTGGAGTGGTGGCCTTACCAAGACAGCCCACTTGAGCACAAATAATGGTCCGTTGGGGTACCACATGGAAAAAGCGATGTTCGTATATAGACAAGGTGATCAGTATACGACCAACGCCCAACAGAGAGGCAACGACTCCCCCATTAGGTGAAGGTAAACCACCTAATGGTGGTAGTTCTATGAATCTGGCCAGTACAGTCAATGTACTTTAATCATTTTTTTACAGGGTTGTTGTAAAGGTGAAAGATAAAGCTGAAAAATAAACCTTTGTCCTAAATATTAATGTGAGAAACCTCTTACTATATTTTTTGTTAACCCGAATGAATTAATTGTTAAGCTTAAGTTCAATGTAAGTGCGATAGAGGTATTGTACAGCCTAATGCTAGTGTGGTTACCATGTGTTTTACAGCCTCTAAAGATATCAGTATCATTTTATAATAACTTTGAAAAATGATAATTAAGAGGAACGTGTTCAGTTAAGCAATCAGTAACTTTACCGGAGTTCAGATTTGACTTATGAACCTATCACCATTTCACTTCTTTATCCATATGAGCTTTTCAATATAACTTTTTTTAACAGTACACGTCTAACAGACGTGTTTAAGGATCGGGTGTTGAATATTTGGTAAACGTAAACTATTATTGGTCTGATTATACTCTAACTTCTAAGGTGCTGCTGTTGTAGTCGTAACCCAGAATTTCTACGTAAAAACGTGTGTATGATGGGATTGGTTGTAGTGCTAATTGAAACCCGCCTGGGTTGCACTAGCCATCTATAGAGGAATAGAGAATGGAATTATAGTGTTCAATCTCATGCGTATATATGCCGTCAGATACTCTGTTAGGATTAACGTTCGATCTATTTGTTCACTAATGTTTTCGAACAAGTATATATTTAACACCAGATATGTAAGTGCTTCACCACGTAAAAGCTGTACTTTTGTTACTATAAGTTATTCTCATTTCTATATTCTTTAACTTAAGGTTGCTGTCTAAGGTTGTCTGTAGTAATTTATACTTTCGTTTGAAATACTTCTGTCCCTTGATTCGTCTATGTCATTACATTTATGAAATCAAAAATCATTTTATGATAGAAAATGTATGTATTTGGGTTGTATATAAGATAATAAATATAAAAAAATTTGAGCCTCAGCATTACATAGAATATGTGGCACATAGATCTGTTACATACAAATATATTGTATACATATATATATATATATATATATTTATAGATTTGTTAAATTTAGAAATAAAATATGAATACTTTACTTATCAACGTAGATCAACTAATTTGGCTCGGTAAAAATATATATTTTTTTTATTTATACAATTTGTCCTTTTTTTTTTTCTGAAACACTTAATTTCGATTGTATATGTATTAGTTTAAGAGATGATGCAGTATAACAGCCATTTAGGTTATGGGATATCTGAACAGTTTAAGTTAAACACTTTGGTTAAGTTAAATTCATCGATGTGAGAGATTTCAAAAGTAAATATATTATTATCACAAATCAACAAAATTAAGTTAAGAGGTTTCTGTATTCAGTTAAAATTTGTTCCTCTTGTAGTAGAGGCAAATCCAAATAATCGTTCTCAGTATCTGTGATGTCAACATGGAAGCGACGATAAGCCGTTAAGGATTCAAGTTCAAGTTGTGCTTTCTGTATCAAATCACTTGCAAGTGAATTGATGCCACTGGATGTAGATGGTCCATCAGCGGCATTTAAAGCCTGTGACACTTTCTCCATCATTGATTTAAGTTGGTTTTCATCATTTAACATTCTTATCAAGTAGTCGGCGGCTTTATCAATATTGTTGCCAGTGGTTTGTAGTGCAATATTTGCAAGTTGTTCATCAAAACCCAGTTTCTTAAGCTACGATTATTGTTATCAGTTCAAGTATTTATAAAAAGATTTAATAAAATGACTTACTTCATCCAATAACAAATTATTTACACTTGTTGGAGCTGATACACTACTGCGTAATTCATCGCCCTGAGTTTGCAACAATTCCAACTACAAAATTTGAGATTTTTTTTATTAGTGAACAAAATATTTTAGTTATTTTTCACTCACTGCGCCAACTAAATCATTTTTAGAACGCTTCAGTGCTTCAGAAGCAATGCTAGCAGTATAACCCATATCCATAAGAGCAGAAACGCTACGCGGATTTATCCATTCTTTGTTGCGATAACGTGAAATAACATCATTGACTTTTCGTTCTTTAGCATTTCTTTTGCGCGCCTCCAACAGTTTTTCTCTACGCTCTTGTATCGAATTTATAGCTTGATCAATTAAACCGCCACTAGCACGTAAACCCAAGCGCGCTTCAAACGGTTCATAACCCATTTCCACCATTGTAGCTAAGGCGGCATCATCTACTTTTAATTCTATTAATTCCTTAGAGGCTACTTCGAATTTATAGTATGCTTCATCACGTCTATTTTGATGGAAGAGCACAACGCCTTGCAGTAAATGTAGACGCATAAGTAGAGCACGTTCAGGACAAGCATTTCCCTTAAGTGCAATTAAACGACTCATATTTTCACCATAGCTACGATTAAAACTGCTCTCGCATACTTTTAAGCGACGTTCTGCATCGGGAAGCTGTGTAACATTCTGGAAGATAATCGTTCTTTAAATAAAACATTTTTTTTTTAAATAGGACTGTAACGTACTTTTAATAATAAATAACACCAGACAATGTCTAAATTGACAAGTGCATAGTTGTCCACAACTTCTAGGAACTTTGAATTGCAAGTTAGAAATTTCTCATCTGCTTCCAGCAATAAAACCAAGGCTTCATCAAAATGATCACGCTTAAGTGCTGCACGCGCTTTCTCATAGAAACTCATTGCCATTAATATTGCACGATTTTCCTCAGGTGGCAAGAATACTGTATTACCATCCTGATCTTCCATCTGCAATTTAATACAATCGTTTAAGTATGACAATATGCATGCTTAGCAATAACTACAATATTAAACCTCAAACAGTTGGCGTTTTGAGTCTACGATCTTCTCAACATCCATTTTAATTCTTTGTACTCTCGAGTATATGGCATCTGCATTGCCCGAACTTTGAGGCTCCACCTCACTTACAATTACTAGTATGTTTTCATTATTTGTAACCACTAAAATGGAAAAGTAAGTATATATAATATTACATCCATTTCTTCAAATGAAAATAAACACTTACTTTGTGCTTGTAACGTTTTATTTTGATCCACAATTTTTCCTTTATGGATGCACTTAACTTGGCAACCAGCTGTCAAATTCAACTGCGCTGCTATCAAAGTTTGCAATTCGGATCCCATTACGTTCAGGTTCACCTTTATATCGAACATGTTTTGCGTGCCTATATCACTACTAACGCGGCGTACTTTTAATGTTGCTAAACCTGCAAAACGAATTCTTCAACAAAAAATTAGGCGCATTTTACACATAAGTACGAACCAGTTTGTTCGTATTCCCTGCGTGCATTCAGTTTGTCTAAAGCACCCGCTTGGAGTTCATTAAGTGCCATTACACATTGCGAAACTGTTATGCTTAAACTTCTACTAAATTCCTCTGCAAGTCTCTAAAAAAAATAATTTATTTAAATTTCTTATGAAATTCCTTTGCAAGAAAAGCGCGTATACATACGTCCACTTCGGAAACAATTGGTCCAACTTCAGCTAAATAGTAAGGTTCTTCCCATAATTTAATGTTTAACTGCCGCAGACGCGCACGTACCAAAGTAATAACATTTGTTATCTGTGACATAATAATAATAAAAGCACGCAATAATTTCGCTAAAAACAAAAAACAACGAAAGCAAATGCGCAAATTTTCAATTCTGTGTATTCATTGTGTACCTCTGCCGTCCTACTGTATAAATTGATAAACGTCAAAAGTGCTGCCAACCTCACTACTGACGTCTATTGCATCCCTTTGAAGTGTCATTTTTGTACAGTACAAAATAAAGAAATTCGTTGCACATCAGTTAATTGCAAATTTGTGTTTTATTTCAATTTTCTTCTTCCTCTATAAAATAATTGTATTACGTTTTTTGTTGTTAGTCACTGATTCATTAGCAAAATTTATTTAATTAGTAAAACACGTTTTAAAGTGTCAAAATTTAGAGTGCATTTTATACGCTTGAGCGAGTACGACAAAAAAAAAGGCGGCATCGTATGCTTATTAAAATTGTTTACATTTTTGAAGAAAGAGTATCAACAGCAGCAATCATTATTTGCTAAATATTATTTATTTTAAAAAGGAAATGTGTGAAAATGGCAGTTCGACATGATGGTGAAACGTACAATGGAAATCCAGATTTGCGCGATTTAGCAAACGTTCCTGTAAGAGATTTCGAAAAACATTTTCGAGAATGGATGGACAGAGACGAAATAGCACGGGAATTGCAGGCAAAACTACGTGCTGACCTTATAATAAATTTTAACAAAACTACACTGGGTAAGTAACAAAATTGTTGAGTTTTTGTTTATTTTTTACTTTGTTGGAATTTAGTAGGGCCTTGTGTGTTGTTTTTGTAATTGTAGTCGTTACCATGACAACTGTTGCACTGTAGACAACTTTCAATGTAATAAATGCGCCTTTTATTGACAGCTGTTAGTTCGAAATCCCTGTAGGAAATTTGAAACGTAATGTAAATATCTTATAAAACAATAACCAATAATAAGAAAAAAACATTAAACATAAAGAAGAAGAATATTAATATATAAAATATTAAATGAAGATAAAAAATTAAATAAAGTAACTAAAAAATTATAAAAAACTATTAACTTTAATAAATTTACAACAGTTGCATATATTTATCTCGTATTTAATGTAGTTGTTGTAGTTGTGGTAACCCGCTTAGAAATGCTTGAGAAATCCCTTTGGGTGGGGTTAAACAGCACTTGATCGTCGCTGGCGACGAATGGCTTCGGGACGTAGACCCAGCCGTTCTTGGAAACTCGAGATTTAATGAGATTTATTATGACAAAAAGTGTAGCGCCAATTTTTTATTGCATTCATATATTATATACGTTGCGTTTTTTATATTTAAAGTTAATAATAGTTAATATTAAATTACTAATTAAAATAATAAGTAACAAAATATTTAATTTTAATTTAAATTAAACAATTTTTTTATAATAATTTTTTTATTAACTTTTTTGACATGCGTTTTTTATATTTAAAATTAATAATATTTAATGTTAAATTACTAAATAAAATAATAATAATTAAGAAAATTTTTCTTCATTTGTTATATATATTGTTTATTAATTATAATTTTTTTTCCAATATTATATATACAGGCAAACGTATACTCTGTCATGTGAAAAATACCGGATCAAAACATTTACTTACTCTGTCTCCTCTAATCCTCGGACTTAACACATTAGTTGCTGAATTTCTTTATGCTCACAATTGTCATTTTACACTTTCGGTATTTTGCACTGAAGTCCCCTATCGAAATGTATTACCAGATTTTGAGGGTATGCGTTATTTTCGTTTTGATCAAACAGAAATACTGGATATTATAGGTGCTATATCCAGTAATAGAAAATGTCAAGAAATTTTAAGTAATCATATACCAAAAGTGTATAGAAATGAAGAAAATGTTTCGTTACTCTTTTTAATACTAAAGAATCTTATTGATTACACAAAGGAAGAATCAACTGGAGTGCATGGTGATTGCAATTCCTATCGAAGCTATAATAATCTTGAAGTGCAAGAACAAGAGCTACGTCGTAGCTTAAAATCCGATATATATACTAAAAACTTTAAATTATTCAATGAATTTCTGGGGACGCTTACAAACAAAGTCAAGGATATGATGCAACAATTCGAGAACTTCAGTCGGAGACTAATGCATAAATTACAAATTAGCACAAGTGCTAGAATTAATAATGCTGAAGAGCTTAGTTTGAATTTGGAACAGATAGTTGGACAACTTAAAGCAGTAGCTAGTAGTCATACTAAGAGTAGTCATGTTGACGGATTACGAAACGCAATTGAAGCATTGGGAGAACAATTCACGAAGTGCGTTAAGAGTTTCGATAATATTGTGAAAGCAGTAATTTTAAGCGAAGAACTAGAGAGAGAGCGTGATTTATTGAAAGGTAAAGAGCGGGAAATCGAATTGGAGAAGGAGCATGAAAAAGAGTGTGAAAAAGTGCTTATGACAGAACGAGAAAGAGAGCGTCAGAAAGAACGTGAAAGCGAGCGTGAGAAAGAACGCGAAAAGGAACGTGAGAAAGAACGGGAAAGAGAGCGTGAGAGGGAACGTGAAAGGGAGCGCGAGAAAGAACTTGAAAATGTGCGTGAGAGAGAACGTGAAAGGGAGCGTGAGAAAGAACGTGAAAGTGAGCGTGAGAGAGTACGTGAGAGAGAGCGGCAATGTGAAAAGGAACGTGAAAGAGCGCGCGTTAGCGAGCTTGAGAAAGAAAGGCTAATAAATCGAATGAAAGAATGGGAGAAAGAGCGTGAGAAGGAAAAAATAATTCAACAATCAACTGTTCAAAGACCTGTTGAGCAGAGATGCGCGAGTGCACAAACTGAATTTGTTGAACCTGTCAAGACCTATTTGGATTGGGTAAATGAAATGCGTAATACACTTAATGGGCAAAAATTTTTGGAAAAGGTATGAAATCTTCTTTAAAGGTTTAAATTTCACTTTAAAATTATATCGTAGGTTGAAATCTCTCTGAATAAAGCCTTAGAAAAACAAAAGAATGAAATGTATCATGAAACGCAAATTAAATTACGCCATCAAAAAGAACTTCTGAAAATTAAATATAGACAAAAAATTTTGCAGGTAAGTGTGAATACTTATGATTTAAAGAAACAAGGTTTTTATATTCACTTCATATTTAGCATGCCCAATCGGCACGACCATCCTCTACGGATACTTCTCTGGAGAAAGTAAAAATGAGTGAGGAGTTTGCTAATCATTTAGCTCAATTTGAAGATAAACAATTAAAAATTCTAACAAAACTGCAGGAACAAAATTTGGAATCAAAGAATTTATTATTCAAAGAAGTTAAAGACATGCATGAAGCCGAAAAAAAGAAAAAGGTATTCATTATATAGTATTGTTTGATTCTATGGATGAATTGTATTTTTTCTTTGATTAAAAAATTTTAACTTAAGAATTAAGATTAGAAAATTTGAGTTTGAGAAAGCACGGTGTTGTTTACTTAAAACTATTGAACCTCCGTTTTAAAGTTATAGTCTTTCTATTAGTATTACGTTTATGCACTCCTGGTTATACAGTGAAAGCTCTGTTTCATAAATGCTTTGCCAAGTCGACTCTCTTAACTGTTTAATGTTAGTATCTGCTTTGAATTTGTCATATTTGCTTGATAAATGGACAGTTCTCTCAAGCGGACATAATTGTTGGACCCGTCAGTGTCTTTTTAAGAGCGCTTCCACGGTATATAGTGAGTTGATATAATATACTATAAAAAGGAAGATACGATAATGTGAATTGGGCAATATACTTGTATTGCGAAGGTTTTAAATTAAAAATATTATGCTTACTTATTTACTTACTTACTTACTTACTTATTTACTTACTTACTTACTTACTTATTTACTTACTTACTTATTTACTTACTTATTTACTTACTTACTTATTTACTTACATATCTTCTGCCTTATTTACTTACTTATTTACTTATTTATTTACTAATATATTTACTCACCTATGTAGATATTAACTAATTAATTTTTATATTGCTTTTAAGGAGTTGGAATTGAAAAATATAGCACAAGCAAGTTCACAGCTATCCGAAGAATATCCTTCGATTCCAGAAGTGCAGCAGATAGTCCAAAACCAACAAGAATCAAGGGCAGTACCTTTGCGGTCGCAACATATACAGCAAAAAAATGAAAATATAGAACTCAGAAGACGAAAAGTTGAAGAATCTAATAAAATAATTGCAACCCATAAAATGTTTTATGACATTGCCAAAGAAATAAATGAACGTGAACGGAACGTAGATCATATAGTGTTTGATGCAAAGTAAGTTCTTTTGATAACTCAAGAGTTTAGTGTAAGAGTAGTAATTTAAGTCTGATGAAAATAATTGAAGAAATGTAACGTTGCTAATTTAACTGGGACTTGGTGGTATATTTTTTCACCGATTTGTTAAAATTTTGGGATAGAAAATTGAAGACTGACTCTACTACATTTTGTTGTAGAAAAAATTATTCTCTAGTGTTCTACAATAAAGTACAAACATATTGAGGCTCAGCGTCATGACTCTTTAAATGCCAAAACCACACTCACCATTTTTCAAAGTAAACATTATATTTTCACTGATTCGATTAGATTTTGAGAACAGTATATAGTAGACGGATAGTAAATTCTGGACTCTAGTACACTTTCCTATACAAAATAAAAGAGTAGTATTTACCATTTACGCAGAAACACACTAACGTCTAGTTTAAAAATTATGGGACATTGTTTTTTTAGATGCATTTACATCCATGATACCATTATGTTGTGCGCAAGATGTTTCCAACTTTATTAATCCTTTTCTTATTTCTTTTAGATTACGTATGCAAGAAATAGAGAATGAAAGTAACCAAATAGAGAAGAATTTTCTTGATTATATGGAACGTCAGCGGCAACAAAACGATGCGGAAAGTAATGTTATCAAAGAATTTTGGAAAAATTATTCAGAAGACCGTGAAAAACTACAAAAAAAATGGGTTGATTTGACGAAAGAAAATGTGAACCATAAAATTCAAAAATCAAAAGTCCATACAAGACCCAGAAAAAGTAAAGAAACTGCCGCTGAACTAAAGTTGGAGGTTCTACCCGAAACCAAACATGTGTTGGATAAAATATCGAGCAGCAGAACTGAATCTTCCACCACTTCCACTAGTGAAAGTCTACCAAAAAATGGAGTGAAGACTACAAAGTATAAAAACGCCATACAGGAAGCGAAAGAAAAATTTTTCGATGATGAACGCAAATATCGGGAGAAAGCGGAAAAATTATATTCCAGACCGAAAATGAATTTAAATGAAATTACAAGTATATTTAGCAGTGAAGAGAAAACTAGTAGTAACGATATTCTTATCAATACTGGTACACATCCTATTTTTCATAGTACAGTGATCACTGATGAGAATAAGCAAAATACACTATCAGACATCGACATAAATAATAGAGGAGACTTCTTGAATTTATTTAAAAAGCCTAAAAGTCGCAATAAAACTTTTATTAATGAAAAAAAGAATGAACATATTTTAATCCCAACTTCAAGTACTGAAGGTCTAACATCATCGAACGTAACAATACCAACTGGAGCTGATAGCATCTCCACAACAAGTTCTACTTCTTCCATTGCTTCAGGAACAACTTCAAAGCAAAGTGGCGATGGCAAACAAAGTTCAGGGCTGGAAGTGGTCAAAACGCGTAATAAATTCAAACGTTGCCTGTTTCCTGTGGAATCTATAACAGCAAAAGCGCTCAAATCAACAGCAACAGTAGCTTCTGTAGCTGCAACGGCAACAATGGCAATAATGGCAACAACAGCAGCAGCGGCAGTCGAAAATACAATAACAACACGGAGCCATAAAGTTAGCAACAAAAATGGCGCCAATGTGAAGGAAGTGATGCAAATACAGTTAAAAAACACAATAAACGGAAATAAAGAAAGCGCACAACAAAAGCGGCAAGTTAAGTTAATACAACAAGAGGACGAAAGCAACAACAATCACTACCACAATAATGGCAACAACATTAATATCAGCAGCAACATCAACGTTAACTGCAACAGCACAGAAAATCAATTGCTCGCTGCTGAAAAAGTTGGCAAAAATATTAATGAGAATATTGCTGGCAAAAACTCAACCAACGCAATAACAATAACAACAACATCGACTACAACAAGAACATCGCCAATACCAGCAAAAAGAGCGACAGTCCCAGTCCCAGTCCCAGTCGCAGTCGCAGTGACAGCTACAGCAGAAACTACAGTTGCAATGCAAATGTTGCAGCAATCAATGGAAAAAATGCAACAACTTTTTGCAAAGAAGACATTAAGCAAAGAAAGAGTAGAACTCACTGAAGTCGTAGCTGAAGATGTTGAAGGCGAGGTGGAATTGCCAAACGAAAAATTACTAAATGAAAATGAGTCTGGAATAGCCTCATCAGTGCCACATGCTGTTGGCGATATTGGCACTTATGCTGAGCGCACTGCATACGAGTATAAAAATATGAAACAAAATCTGTCCAACGTACAAATGCCAAAAGTGATAACAATCGACGAAATAGAGGCTGCTGCCAAGCAAGGAGATTTCAGAGAAGCTCACAAGATTTTCAATGCATATGTTGCACAGGATTTAACACATGTGGTGGATGTGGAGACTGAGGCTGAGGCAGTAGCGGTGTCCGCGACGAATTCCATAGCGGGGAAGAAAATGATAGACAAAATTATGATGGAAATGAAGGCACAGGACTTAACGACTACAGCAGTTGCAGCCAAGGAAAGTGGTAGTAGCGAGGAAGAAGAAAATATTAAATTCGATAAAAAGAAAAAAAATAGTGAAGAAGAAAATTATGAACAAAATGAATTTGGTGAGTTAAGTGAGGATTCTGATGAGAATGTAGATGAGGTAGCTGAAGTTGAAGAAGTAGGAATGGAGGAGCAAAGCGATGAACGTTCCAGTCTTAGTGATTCTGCATTTTGGCGGTAACATCAGGCTATTTGCAAAGGTGCGATTTCATTTCATTTTAACTACTATAGCAAATTAATGATTGCATGAAAATGGTTTTTGTTAAAATTTTATTTATAATATTAATTGTAAGAGTTGCTTGTTATAAAAAAATCGTATATCGTATACGATATACGATTCTATAAATTGATAGATATTACTTCATATTATATATTAAAGAATATATTTATATAAAATTCATTTGCAATTTAATTTTGTTAAAATAATATTAAAGGTTTATATGTTATGTATATATATACTTCACACATATATATATACTATATATATATACTATAAGTATATATGTACTTTGTTGTTTTCTAGGTGCGTAAAGTTCGGAGATTATTATTTGGTTGAAGAAAAGAAAAAATTGTAGAAGAGTGTCTTTTTCGACACCAACTTTGCATTGGACCAAAGTACTCAATAGGTTTTGGATTAACCCAATTGAGTTTGGGATATAGTCAATTGGGTTAGGAGTATAGTCAATTAGGAGTACAGCTGCAGTTAATGTATATATTGAGGATAGTCATATTTATACGCTACAAGTAACTGCTTACCACTTATTTATATCGTAACCCATTCCAAAGACTCGAAGGTTATTGTCATATGCTAATGACTGCTTATCTTTGCACACAAACCATCCTACACTTTCACATTTACATTCCATGCCAAAGGCATGTGATTCATTTAGTTTTTATGCTCTAACGGGCTTTCCCTTCGAGTTTAGAGGAATAATCGGGATGTACTTAAATCCATTAGGCAACTTTCTATACTCTCTTGGAGTATAACTGGTAATAAGTGGGTTTCACTTGCTACACATGACCAGAGTTGTATATCTGGTAATATAGCATCCAGATGTCCACAGCTTCTGTTGTGCTGAATACTGTGTTAACTTCGAATGGGAGTGTTGTGGTGACTGTGATTATTGACTAAAGTTACACAGGAATAGTGTTGGCATTTATGGTTTCATTTGATTTGGATTTGCATTTTTTAACCGAGTACTGTGACCCAATTAACTGCAGACGTTTAAATAAGTAGCGATTCGCAACAAGGAAGAAGTTCTACGTAAAACTCGTTATGGTACAGACGGAGCTGTTTACAATAGGGGGTTTAAAGTGATTTATCTGGATATGTATATTAGAACACTGTGGTATTAACACGGCAGGTAATCAATTAAAACGATTAGAACTTATGCTCTACAGGTCGCTTTAACTCCGGCAACAACACATACTTATTTGCAACGGTTCTTATGAGACTGATATTCATTACTGATATGAGATCTATTATGCTAACTAAGGGGAAGTTTTCTTCGTACTTTGATTGAAATTTAAAGAATTATTTCATTATTATTATGATGGAAATAAGTAAAATATCAGAGTTGTATGGTTCCATCTATTTTGATATATAATAAAGCTCTGCTCGTTTTTGACTTTTTTATCGCTGTAGCATATTGTAACAGATCCTTAGCAGATTAGTCCTTAATTTACCTATATAAGTAATAGAATATCTACAAACCATTTGTTAATTTTGTTTATATAAAATACACAACATAATATAATTTCTGTATTGCATTGTGAGGTTTTAATCGTTATAAATAAAAACGTTATTATTTAAATTATACACATTTATTTATTGCTTTATTTATTAAAATTCCATTTCTGTTTATTTTAATTCCGTTTATTATCCTTACTAACGCACACTGATTTCAAGTTTTATATTTTAATTGGTTTTTTTTTTCAATGTTTATCTAATAAATTATTAACGTCGGTGTAGACTGTTTAACGCAGTCTCGCACATAGCATTTTACATACCTTTTCTATATATGTATATATATATTTGTTTTTACTATAATTTAAAATTTTTTCATTTTTATATTTACTATTTCATTTGCGTTTTTTTTTTAATTTCAGTTCAAAATATTTACTTAAACACTTACAGTTTTACTCTTCTACCAATTGCAGTACGATTCTTTTTTTAAATATTAATTAAATAATTTGATATTTATTTTTGCAAATTAAATATGCAATATTCAAAAAATTAAAAATAATATTTTTAAAATAAAAAGTAACTTTTAAATGATTTATTTTGGTCATTGACTGCGACCAATATTTAAAATACGCTTTAAATAAATAAATATTTTTTTCTCGATAAAATCCGCACAATTTAATTTACTTAAAATAATAAATTCGAATTTGTTTTAAATTTAATATTATTTTCTTACAAACCATATTAAAGTTTTATATAATAATACTGTATTATTTTTCATTTTTATTCCATTTCATTATTAAGTATATATCATCATTATATATTTATTTTGCTAAATTTTTTTGCAAGAATTTCTAAGATACTCATACTAATATTAAAGGTAATAACTAATAACAATAAAAAAATTTTTATAGTTTTAAATCTTAAATTAACCTTTATAAAATAAAAATAAAATAAAATTTTTAAAATAAATAAAATAGTTAAAATAATCTTAATTAGGTTATGTTTAAGACTTAAATAGCGACTGAATTCACAAATACTAATTATGGGTCCATTGCTTGCCCTTAGCGCTTTTATTGCCATATGTTTACCTTCCTAATAAATTGGTTTTTCTTTGGTTAAATTGGCACTTGTGGTATGTGCACGTTTAATACAAGAGTAGCCTGTATCTCTTTTCGGATCATTATTCGGGTTCCTCAATATAAAGGTTTTCTAAAAATTATAGTTGTGTCTCTTTAAGGGTTCGGTGGCGATTGACTCTATGAATACTATGGATACTGAATACTGCCTATAGGTCCATTGTATAAGCCTAGCCCTCTTCTTTGCAAGTATTCATCGTTCTAGTAATATTGTTCTTCTAGTTGTTTTCTATGGGGTCCGAAAACACAAACTTTCTAAGAATTTTAGCTCAGCTTCTTGTCAGTTATGGTAATTATTTATAATTTAAAAAATTAAGGTCTAAATATTTGAGTATATTGTATTGTTAATGTGAATTTGGTAACTATACCATCCGCATTGGATCACTTGGAAAAAATGATAACGTTTTAAATCGTATTATATTTAGATTTTAAATATTATGTATCGGCTTAATAAAGACGTTGAAACTCCACCCTATTTTTCTTAGCACTATGCTTTACTGCGGTAAGGAGCAGTCCGTTTATCCCTTTATCTTCATTTGCAATCACTGTTTTCCAGATGTCAGTCATAGAGCTTGCCATTCTTACAGTTACTCATTATTTTAACCTTTTCCCTACACCACCGTTTATGCATTTAACGTTTCCTTTAATTATTGTAATGGGTCTCACTCTTTTTAGTGGTTATTATTATTATTAAATAATAGGCTATGAATGCACTGCGACTTTAAAGATCTATATTGCGCCTTAATGCTCAACTAAAATAATTGTAGACTATTTATGAATCTCGTAATTGATATTTGTTTTGGGACCGCTTAGTGGCTAGAATCGAAAGTTAATTATTTTTGAGTGGTAATTGTAATCAATTCAAGTCTTACACAGTGATTTTTCAATTTTATTGTCTATCCAAAATAGACAAGAAGAATTGTTTTAGGAAGAATAGGGAAGAAGGAAAATAAGCGCGAAGAGGACTGAAAAAAAAGGAGGGAGGTGAGGAAAGAGAGAAAGAGTAGAAAAGAGATGGAAAAGTTGAAAAGAGAGAGTTTATAAAGATTTAAATTTTGTTATAAGGAGTAGATTTAAAAGGTTTTCGTGCACTGCAGCCATTTTCCTATACAGTTCCGGTAATGAAAATCTCGATACCTGTGTGAAAAGCAGTGTATAACTATTTTTGATTTACGAAGTTTATAAAATATAAAGAAATTAATAAAGCATAAAAGAATTAAAAAATCGTTACAGTAGATATATATTTGTTTCAAAAGGTCTTGGAAGGGCATGTAGTAAACTGACTTAATCACGAGCGTAAAAAACTTCGTATTCAGTGTCGATACTCATCGTGTCCAGTATATAACTTATATTAAAGTACGAATAAAAAATAAAAATAAAATGAAGAATAAAGAATAAAAAATTGAAATGAAGCTTCAATATATATCTAGAAACTCTTTTGGTTTCTCTTCTAAAAATAATCGGAAAAACAATTATTTTTAAGGTAGAGTGTTAAGAGTCTAATATCTTCTGCATTACCAAGGTTGCCATATATAACGAATATAATTTTTTATTGTTATTCATTATATAAGTACCTATATCCTTTCTTATCTTTTTACTTAATATATTCTAATATTTTAATTAATTTACTACTTATAACGTCATTTATAATAATTTTCTAATAATTTTCTTTTACAGTAAAAATAATTGTCACATCTGCTTACATATCTAAAAGTCAATAATTAGTTACAATTCTACATTTAGTAATAAAATTAACTAATTAATTAATTTTTTTCTAATACACACATACACTCACATTAACATCTAATAACATTTAATAATCGAATAGCTTTGGCAGTGTTTGAAGTATTTGTATTCGTAAGATGCAAATTCAAGTCCCTTGCACTTCCTTAGCTTTTTCCAAGTGAAAAACAGAGTCTGCTGCAGTTGCAACCATTTGTCCACATCCAATTTATTTTTCGCCGTCTGAGACAAATTTCCGGATATTGTAACTGAAAAAACAGAACAGAAAAGAACAGAACAGAACCAAAAAAAATACGTATAAAACCCAAAGCAGTAAATAGTGTACACTGGTGTGGCTTATTACGGAGCTGATGGTTTTTCTTAAGTCACATTTTGTGCTCATTCCTAGACCGCAGTGCCATTAATCAAGTCATAATGCTCTGCACTGACATTGCTGCCACCGTTCAAGATACCGTTCATACCACCGAAAAGACTGGCATGGGAACGACGCCGCTCACGCTCGATTTCATCCAAGTCGAAAGCATCAGTTGTGATTGCACTCGCGCGGCGTTGTTCATCAAAGGCGTAGCCACGTTGAAATTTCGGTGGAGCACTGCCAATTGTCGTTGCAGCGCCACCACTTACCGAACGTGTCACTAAGCTGTGGGGCAAGTGCGTTGCTAGTGGATTATTACTGACGGGCGCATAAATTTGGTATTTATTAGGAAAATTGGATGGTGACGAAGGAATTGCTGCTGGCCACTGCACAGTCGGTTGTTGCAGTGTATTATTGCTATTATTATTATTATTGATGCTGTTGTTATTATTGTTGTTGTTGCTGTTGATGCTTGTTTGTTGTAGTTGCTGCTGGGCACGTGCTGTTGTCGCATAAGCTACATTGATTGGTGCTTGTGGGTAATTCGAGTTGAGATCTTCACAAGATTTATGCGTGGCCATTGAAAGGAAACGATTTTGTTGTTGCAATTGTTGTTGATGTTGTAGCATTAGATTTGTTAAACGATTTTGGCTGGCGCTATATGCATTGTGGAGTGCCGTTGCACTGGCATGTAGTGATGCTGAACCAAGGCTATCCTGTGATCCAGTAGTTTTTTTCAAGAATGAACGTGGTAGTGTACGACTTTGATAAATTTGTGGATTATAGTCATGGTGTAGACGGTTCTGTGATCCACCATAAGGACTTTTGTTGTAGTAAAATTCTGGATAATGTGTAGACATATCGTTTGTGGAATCACTACGTTCCAAATCGAAGAGACTTTTCTGCATGAACTTTTCTGGTGGCTGTAGTATGTGAAGTGATAGATTAGAGTTGAGCTTACGCAAATGAGTTGGTTCGACGTACATTGAAGCTCGTCGCATATTACGCATGGGATTACTTTGCAAGTCTCTTACATCTAAGAGAAGGAAAGGTTTTGAATTAAAAGTTAATGGAAGCATAGTATTGTATGTCTATTTTCAAATTTAAAGTAAAAAAGTAAAAAATTAGAGCTATTTAAGGTTGTTCGCTAAAGAGGAATAAACTTGTTTATTCAATCTTTTCCTCATGGCAGGGCGTAGTGTCCATAGAGTTGTAAAGCAGATCATTTTCGTTCTTCAAATGAAGCTTAGAAAAATTGTATAACTTAGATAAGGGATTTTAAGTCTGAAAGAATTCTCTTTGTGCAGAATTACGTACTACTTTGTTTTAAACTTAAGACTTTGTATTAAAAAATTACCAAAATTAAAAGCCTGTGATGGCCTTAAAAGTCAAAACTTGAACTTTTTTGATTAAATATAAGAAATATTTCCAAAAAGGACACTGATGATGAGTATTTAGAAATAATCCAAACAGCTTTATAGTCAGTCAAATATTATTTAATCAATTTTTTAAAAATAGTATATGTTGTTGTAATTGAATACTGTTCAATTAACCCGCCTATAAAATAATGGTATCTTTTAAAAAATACATTCTATTAAAAAATACTTTCTATTAAAAAATACTTTCTATTAAAAAATACTTTCTATTAAAAAATAGTTTCTATTAAAAAATACTTTCTATTAAAAAATACTTTCTATTAAAAAATAGTTTCTATTTAAAAGCTGTTCTTATTAAGAAAATAGTTTTTTTCAGCATAATTTACTTAAAAATAATATTTTCTATGATTATTGTTAAGTGTTTTAGGTTAGGTTAGGTTGTAGGGCAGTCTTTTGTGTACTAAGAAAGCCCACTTAAGCTCAAATAATGGCTCGTTGTAGTACCATAGGAATCGTGTTGATACATAGATTATAATGGCCCGTTGTGGTACCACAGAAACCGCGTTTTTTTTCATACATAGACTAGAAGGTCAATATACGACCAACACCGAAAAAGGCAACGACTCCATCATTAGGTAAAGGTAAATCAACATAAATCTAATGGTGTTATAAAAGAAATCTAAGGTGTTAAACAGTATTTAATGTTTCATCTAGTATCTAATACTAGATAGGTATTACTGTTCTATTGCTAAATAGTCTTAGAAGCTATAAATAAAAGAAAACTCTTGATTTGAAAACTAATATATTATAATTGTCAGTTTATATTAATAATAATTGTAAAACAATTTAATATTTCTATTCAATTTATTTTCCTAATAAAAATTTGCAAAATCAAATATAAATCAACTAATAAAATTAAAAATATTTGAATAAAATATTATGAAAAAAATGAAAAGAAGTAACATCGATAAAATAACATAAAATAAAAACACTCAAAAAAATTACCATCAACAACATAAATTTCATCTTCATCCTCGTGTAATTGGTGAAAACCATTCTGGTTATCTACACCATCATCATCATTTTCATCATCATCCACTTCAGGCAAGTCATTTTCCTCATTTTCAATATAATATATATTCTTAGGCTTTGGACGCATGCCAGCGCGTTTGCAGAACTCCTGAAAGAGTTCATCTTTGGTTTTGCGTATACCGCGTTTGAGGCCACACAAGCGGTGCGGCTCCTCATCGAGCATATCATCAACAGTGTCGGTTGTGTGGCGTCTAATGGCGACATTTTTTCTCTCATTTTCCTTCAATTGCGTCTCAGTGTTGTGCGTATTAGTGTTTGTGGCCATATTGCGACGATTTTTTCGTTCAATATTTGGTGTGGCAGTACCACGTGAGATGCAAGCGTTACTGCTTCCATTGCCGTTGCCTTTGTTGCCTTGTGCGCTGGCGTTTGTAAATATGTCCGTTGTAGTAGATATACTGCGAGTCAAAGGAAACTCTTGTGGCAATTCTCCGAATTGTGTTTGCTGCTGATGTTGATATTGATGTTGTTGTTGTTGTTGTGAATAACGTGGAAACGTTTGTCGAGCGCCCACTTTAATAGTCGATGGAGGCGGTGGTGGTCCTACAGGTGGCGCTGGTTCAGTATATAGTTCATTCAGTGATTTGGCAAGGTTTTTTGAGTGCAAATTGCACTTTAATGACGGTGGCTTTTCAAAATAGTATCTAAATGCACACATGAAATTGTGAAATTACTTATCAAATTAGCTGACTTTTTGATTGCATGATTGTATGATTGATGATGGTAATAAATGAATGATTAAATAAAATTTACCTTTGATCTGTATCATTATTTAGATATAAGTTCGAACCAGTTACGTTTGGATGCTTACGACAAGCATAGCTGCCGATTTGCTGGAGAAATTTTTTGCCCTCCGAATCCATTTCAGATGGTGGTATCGGAGGCAGCATCAGTCCATTTATTGTACGACGTTGGCTGTGGTTTTGAGCTCGTTTTTGTTGCTGTTTTTGCTCTGTTACCTGCTTATAACTTTTGTAGGAATGACTGCGTGGGTTTTCACCTTCCTTAATTTTTTCATGCAAGTTCGATATAGTTAAGCATGGTAACCGCTGCATATTGAGAGGAAAAAACACATTGATAAGGTTTACTTACGTATATAGATTTTTTTGGTTAGAGGCTATAAAAACTGACATATAGACATATAGTCTATATACAATTAAGATAAAAAAATTTGAATGGAAACTAAATGATTGGAATATGTTTAAATATTCTTTGAGACTTTAATAAATGGAACGTAAAAAAGAATAAAAATATGTAAAAAAAGAATAAAAAATTGAAACAAGGTTTATACCTTGTTATTGAAAATAAGTGAGGCGCAATTTAATCGTCAAATAGTAGGATCAGTCTTCCATATTCAAAAAAACCTTTATCCAATTAAATAAAACATTCTCAAGACATAACCCTTCGTTAACGTCAGCCTAAAAAGACTAATCAAACTTCATTTATATAACTTTTTGAGAGGTAACATTAGGTTAGGTTAATGTGTCAGTCACGGTTGCCACTTGTGGTACTTTAGTACCAAAATTGGTACTTTTTTTTTTTTTTTTTCGTTTGGTACTCATGTTCAAAAAATGGTACATTTTTGACGACCCAACTTTATTGTGGATATTTCCAATTAATTTTTTTTATAAATGCAACTTTGCACTATTTTATATTTTGTTCATTTATAACACTATGAAAAACACAGAACGAAAAAATAAAAAGGTCCAAAAAAATTTTGGACCTTTTTTTACAGAAATGGTACTTTTTTAAACCAATTTTGGTACAGGAAAAATTTTCAAGTGGCAACCGTGGTCAGAATGTAATCAAAATTGAAGTAACATTAGGTTACGTTAGTGTGTCAGTCGATCTATTTGACTAAAATAGATAGCACTTTTGCATAATTATATTGAATATAGCTGCCAGTAACTAATTCTCAGTAGTGCATAAATTTTTTGAAGTGCATTTTTTCCCAATTACTTTTTTTTTTGACATCCTTAGCTGCTCTAGTAACTTACCCTTCTGGGTATTAGTGGTACTACATATTAGTTTAAATCGGTAAACTAAAGTGTATTAACACATTTATAATACCGCAGCAATTACTAATAACTCTAATCTAGTAAATAGAGGCGATGATATGGAAAAAGCCATATGGATTACAAAACTGTATTAAAATTAAATTCAACTTACTTATACAATTTGTGTCCTTATATGGTAATAGTGATCTCATCTACATGAGAATTATAATTATTAAAAAATTAATAAACAAAATAAATATTACGTTTAAAAATACATATGTGATAATCACGCGACTGTTGCCAACTTTAATCAAAATCAGGTTCCTTAGAGTATTTAATTAAAAAATTATATTTACCTAAACTAATTTTGCTCCTTTTTAGTGCAGCGATAATAAACTAACTGCATGAGAATTACAATTGTTATACATAACAATAAACATAATTTGATATTATTAAATCAGGAGAGTTTTTCTCTCCTTAATCAAACGACAGGGAGTTCTCAACTCTTTCGTTTTTGATTTAATTAAAGAGGATACAATTTTATTTGAAAAGCTTGGAAATCTGTCTTCCTCTAGTTAGAGAGAGGTTACAGTCAAAAAGGTACACTATAGTACTAAACCTTCATTACTGTGGCAATCTTAATTCCTAATATATTCTATTCGAGCTAAGAGGATGAGATTTTATTCGAAAAGTTAAATTTCTTCTGAGAAGTTAGAGTGAGTTTTTAGCAAAAAAGTTACACTTTGGTACCAATACTCTATTCCACTTGGAATCTGGGATTCTATTATATTCTATTTAATCAAAATGCATGAGACTTCACTTGAAAAGGTATATTTCTTCTATGCTGTTGGAGGGATTTTTTACCTAAAAAAGATACACTATGGTACAGTTGGTCTATTCCACTGAGAATCCTAAACCCTCTTATATTCTATACACACTAGGAGGACAATTTTTAGTTTGAAAAGCTGAATTTCTTCTATTCGGTTAAGGAGAATTTTTGGTAACAAAGTTACACTATGGTCCAATTATTCCACTTCACTGTAAGTCTTGAACCCTGTTCTATTCTATTCAATCAAAATGGTTGAGACTTTATTAGAAAAGTCAAATTTTTTTCTGTTATGTTGGCGAGAGTTTTTAATAAAGAGGAGACACTATGTTCACAAGTGCTCTATTCCACTGGAAGTTTTGAATCCTCTTATATTATATTCAATTAAAAAGGTTGAGACTATTATTAGAAAAGTTACATTTTTTCTGTTATTTCGGAGAGAATTTTTACTAAAGAGAGGAGACACTATGGTGCAAATGCTCTATTATAGAATATAACAGGGAGTCTTGAAACCTGTTATATTCTATCCAATGTTTAATGTGTACGAGTTGTGTAAGTTACAATGAGTTGCATAGTCAAAAGTATTTTGTGATATTAATTTATAACAAATATCGTTAAGTCTTATCTTCGGATATCATGACAATGTATCACATATTCATATAATATGAAACGGTGTGAAAATAGTAATTAAACCAAACTCGTTCACATTTCTGAAAAACCATGCTAACCCATAAATTTGAACCAGTTTTTTAGACAAAATGAAAAGTGAAATTAAAAAGTGTAGCCAATGCTTGACGTAGCGTTAAATTGCAACATTGTTGTTGGTAGTGTCGCCAATGTTTCATGGAATGGCAACATCAACATCAACACCAACACCGATACCAGCAACAGCAGCAGTAGCAGCAACAGCAACAGCAACAATTCAAATATACGTGAGAGTGCAATTGCATAGCTTTTAAGTGAATATTTTGCCATGACGTTTACTTTTAACTTGTGTAATTGACTTTTATTGCCTCATGTCACTTTTTGTTGTTGTTGTGGTTGTTGTTGCTGTTGCAATTGTTGATGTTGCTGGTATTTTAGTTGCTCATTTTGTTGTTGGGTGTCCTTTTTTTTTTAATTTTCCATTGCAATGAATTTAAAGTATTATGCAAACATTTCGCGTAGTCTGCACTTTTTAGTGTACTTTCGTTGTGAAATTAGTTTAAGTGCCGTCAACGGAAGCGGAAGTTGTAAAAGTTAAGTTTTTCCATTACAACTCAACTTTCATAATTGCTGTGGCGAATGCAAACATTGAATTTCATTGCAAAACACAAAATGCACACAAAGTGTTATTTACAATTGCTCTAAATTGCTACTGCTACTGTTGTTGTTGTTGCTGTTGGTGGTGGTGTTGTTGTTGTTGTTGGCAAAGAGTTAATACTGCATATTCAATACTTACACTATAGTAACCGATTTCCTGTAAGCTGATGTATAAGAAAATGTTCAAAAGTCCCACAAATTCGGTTGCAATAAAGCCAAAAACAAATAAGAAGAAACTTTGACCGTAGGTGACCTTAAAAAGTGCCGGTTGTAAAGTTGACCTTGGTCTCAGCTTTGACCCTATTTCTGCTTTCAATATGGATATGTAAGCAATAAGCCCGATTAGCATCAGTAATCCTGCAAAGGAAAAAGTGTAGAGGGAAATGATAGTTTGCATAAGAATATCTACAAAAGCAAGTTTTAATGAGATATGAATGTGAATTGGGAAATGGGAAATGCAACAGCGATTCAAAGAACTTTTCGGGTTTATTGCCAAAAGTTTTTCTGCATGGACACACATACGGGATACCATGCGAATACTTGGTTAAGAGCATCAATGTTAAATGTTCAGTACAGTTAATGTCACCCCACCCAATGCGTGGGAAACACAACATTATTTTCCTATGACATTTTTGTACATACTTAAATACAGGGTGTTTTTTTTTTATCAATACAGATATATAACAAAAGGCAATTGTTATGGTACAAGAGAAAAATTTACAACAAAAATTGTCAATCGTTTTTATTATTAATTTCATTTAAAATGTTACAGTTTTAATTTATTTCAAATCATTCTATATTTCACAACCTTCGTCCATGCCAACCAACAATACACTTCCGTCACAGCGGTTTTTTCCTATATTTCTTGTGATAAAGTATTATTTTATAGCCGATTTATGATTTTGTTCTAAAGTAACACATTTAGTCAATTTGTTAATGAACTTTCACAGCATATTAATAAAAACTCTAAGTTCGAACTTACGAGTCAAGTACAGCTTTGGGTCAGTTGGTTAATGAACGCTGACTCTGAGCTTCAAATTTGGCAGGGTACGAGTTCTACCCTTGGTGCCTGCACTCACAAAAAATTATTTACGAATAATTAAATAATATATAAGTAATAATGACAAGACCACTGATAATAAGTATTTGACAATACTCGAAATAGCTGTATGGTCAGCTAAAATTTCATTTAAATAATATAAAAATAATTTTGGTTGTTTTAGTTCACTTCTTTTCTAAGCCTTTCTACAAAAGTGTAAAGCAAGATTCGACTCTATGGATCATTGGAGAGGTTTTTCAATACATCTCCCGCTATTATGAAGTAAGTTACATTGAGTTGGTAAGCCGACTGCAAAATCGCTTGCCAATGCAACTGTGTACCCTATGTTCTGAGTAGTGTGTCCAATGCATGTGTTATTACTGTTCATATATTTTCCGATGCCAATTTTTGTTTTAATATTTCTATATAAATTGTCAAGATTGTAATATAGTATTAGCTCACGTGAGTAGTTTTAAATTATTTGATATTTATTATTGAAAGGTTTCAATGTGAGATACCTTCAATGACTCTACCCAATACCCAACATGAGAACTAAATTCTTGAAGTTCTTTGACCAGAATATATAAATTTTAATTAAATTTCCTTCTAATACAGTAACATATAGTACATATTTCAGAATTTAAATAAAATTTGTCATATACAAAAGTGCATTTCATTTGGTTCATGTAGTTCCCAATTTGGTTATTGTCGGTGTTCACCCTTACAGCAATGCAAAACAATTCCATAATAAAATGCTCCCGCAGGATGAAAAACATAAATCTTTCAAGCAATTAATTCAGTTTGTAATGCAAAGTAAATAATTTTTATTATGTACGAGAGGAGAAGGAGCTCACTTACCTGAAACAATGAACATGATGCCGGCACTGAAGTAATATAAATTGTTCTGATGCGAGCAGGTCGGTATGAGGAAAACGATGAAGCTGAGCAAGAGGAACACGCCCGATGCCAGGAAGAAAGGACACGATTTGGTGACAGTGTCTGCAAATAAAACAAAAGTAATACTTGAAAATGATATATGTCAAAGGGATTAAATGAAAAATTATTATTATTTCTCTAATCGAAGAATTGCAACTATGTTGCAGCAGTAAAAAAAAATATTTGACAAAATAAGTTTTTCTGTGTCAGATTTTTTAATTTAATTCTCTCAAGCTGTGTCCTATTCTAGTTTCTATTTACTAAATCATTGTAATTAAGTAGTTCTCAGTTTGGAATTCATCTAATGCATATGAGGGCAGTGGGATTAATAAAGTCTGTAGCAGTTGTACTAAAATGGTTAATATAAGAAGAATATAATTGAGTATATAATCGAGAATATAAATGAGAAAGTATAACAAATTTTAGTTATTTTTTTATATGATTTTTATTATTGATAAATTTATTAACATTTTATAATTAAGAAAATAACAAAAAAAAAAAAAAATAGCTTAAGCAAATATACTTTATTTCATTACATTTATGTTCTGTTGGTTGAATAAATATGGCAGATACTTTTTACATGAACCCAATGAAGTTGAGATAATAACTCCATCAATGCAAAATTTTTTTCATACAAATCAAATAAAAATATTTAAACATTTCACATGCATGAATGATAAAATAAATTTTATGAGAATTATTATCATTTGTCTGAATCATTTCATTATTTAAAATAAATTTTTGTTCCATATGAATTTTATTGATTTATTACTCAATTCATTTAATTAGAAACTCAAAAGGCTTCAATCAATATTTTTGGCGGGAAAGTGTTTACATATTCAACATATTTACAATACGGATGCTGCTTTTGTTTGCAGTTACATATTTACTTTAATATACTACAATCAGATATTACCACATTGCGTTTCGGCATAAAATTTGGTTATAAAGAATGATTTGGAAAACAGTAGGCCTTGTTTGGTATCAGTAGCGATCTCCTGATGCGCAGACGATTTTAAAGCTAAAGAAACTGCTGATGAATGAGATCATAACACCAACGCCAGAATCTCGTGTGCTATATTTGCATGTTTGTCAGTCTCAGCGTTACTCCATTTTCAGTGGAATAGCGGTGACACTATTAACTCTCTGGTTTTGATCTCGGTCAGAAGGAGAATATACGGTTTGCATGCTCATATGTCCATACGATATTAAGAAATTCTCATCGCGTGTTTTTACTACTTCGTTTATCTGTCTTTCTCATAATGTTCAACCAGTACCATGTAAGTTCCATTTTAAAACGATGTGTGGTATTTAACCATATATTTAAAGGCATTCTGTCTATGTTTTCATTTATCTAAATCTGTGTTGATGTTGCTTCATACGATAGTTACCACAGTTCTTCGCTTGTTTCTTTAAACAGTATGAAGGCATTTGATTGGAAGTGGTTCCAATTTTGATTTCACTTCATTTGTTATAAATAAGGTCTCATACTCCTCTAGAAGTATTGACTTGATGCATGGTACTCGTATTATTGGTTCACCAGATGTTATCTAGATTACGACAAACTGAAGAATATTTCTGTATGCGAACGTAAGCATTACGTGCTTTATGGTCCAAATATAGGAAACTGCTGTGAATATTCTTTCTTTCGATTGATTTTGTCGTTCAATATTTTGAAACACATTGTTTTTGTCCAACAATTTTATTTTAGATATGCTTTTATCGTATCTCTATTTAACCGATCTAGTTATAGGCTAGGAGCATTGTGCTCTGTGTGGTTAAAAACCAAAGTTTTGAGGGTAGAATAATTTTATGCATTACTTTCAGTCGATGTCAACTGGCAGTTTTGAAACGATTGCTGTATTCCAAACTACAGAAATGATGTTAAACAAGCATCGCTTCCTTCCAAGGAAGAAATAATATCCAAACTCATGACTTCAATTTACTATGTCGGATTATATTGAAACGTTTGTTAAGAGCACCATGGTAATCCCGTTAAAACACTATGGACTCAGTGGTCGAAACGAAATTTTAACTTTCTATCTGTCACAGTTTTTGAGGTTAATAAAAAAAGTAAAAATGAAACATGTTTGTTCCCAATTTTAGAGGGGTTCTGATAATCCGTTTGGGCCAAAATTATATTGAAAAGAAAGGTTATCTTTTTAGAGTACTCCTCCTTGTAGAGTACTCTGCATTAATCACCTCGGTGCTTAGTTATATTTTGCTTTATGATTTTGTGAGGTCTTTCTAGAATGTAAGATATTCTTATTAATAATAGTAAGCCATATCAATATAAGATACTGCATATCTCAATTGATATTTGATGTATACAGTAATATATTTTATACTGTTATTTCAGCTTCCTTATTAGTTACATTCGAGTTTAAAAGTTATTGCATTCGAATAAAAATATATGTAAAAAATATAAATAAACTAATTTAAATTTATAAATTATATTATTCCATCCATTAGTTTTATTGTACAATGAGTTATTGCTTTTGGAACGCAGAGCAGCAGTTTAGGCTTGGACATTGAATTGCATTGCCTACCGAATACGTACAGGCGCCCCGAGGATTCTATTCATTAGAAAAACCAAAAATCACAAACAAAAGTGGCAAAAATATAATAAAACATTAGTTGCATATGCATTGGTAACATGTAATGCATTCTACCAAAGGATATTAGCATTTGCTTTGTGGTTCATAGTCTCAAAAAGGGAATATCCAACATGAATATTTTTGTGTGAACATTTCGCAACGATTAAGGATATTCACAGCAGAGTGATGAAATTTTAATGCAAGGATACTTTACATTCTCCACATGAGCGCATTAAAAACAAAATCGGTTTAATGAGACTTTCCAAATGCTTAGTTTTGATAACTATCATAGAATGTAGGCTATTCTACGAATATTCCTCAGCTGAGACATTCAACCGAAAAGCCACACTTAAGTGCCCAAACAGCAATAGATTTTTATTATTGCCCTCAAACGTTTTGTTAGCGTTAAATAAGCCACAATTCACATTTGTGGTGCAGTCGAAGAAACTTTTAAGAACTTACACAGTGCATTTATTTCGACATATATACCATATATACCATATATAATACTTGTGTATTTATATCTATAAATACAGTTTTATGTTTACAAAAGAAGATTCTTTGCAAAGCAAAAATAAATACTTAATACACAAGAGTTTAAAATTTACAAAACACAATTTATTTGTCTTCCATTTGCGTAGTTTTTAAATTTTCCTCCTCCTCCCGGTACATCCAAATCGTCTTTTTTTGTTCTTTGAAGGAAGGAAAGAATTCTTTTGTGCAGATTGCGTTAGGACTCGGAAATTGTGCACGGGTTGGTGTTAACATTAATGTCTGTCTGCGTTGCTGGGAGTATGCGGAAAATGCATTTCTCTCATGCAACCTAATGTAGTGTAATCCGATTTAATATTCTTTTGATGATAGTTTCCTTCTCGTTGATTTGACTTTTTAACTTTTTTACTTTTGTTGAAAATCAAAAAGGAAAATGTGTGAAAATAACTCCTTTTTTTATTTTTAGTTTGTAATGCTCCGATTTTCACTGATAAAATGAAAAGTACTTTACAAAAAAAATAAGTACTGTGTTTCTCAAGTGTAATTACACTCATCAACGATGTGTTAACAAATAATTATTGTGCTAAGTACCAAATTAAACATTTTAAGGAGAAGAATAGTGATGCTACAGCTGTGCTTGCTGCTGCCAAAAAAGGATCAGCGAAAATGGGTTAAGCGGTGAATGAGGGCAAAACGAAGAATATATCGGCTTCGAGTATAAATGTGCACCGCTCGGATGTCAAGCTGTTGGCTGGCGACTATATTTTCGACTCTGTCAAGAATTTTATCTATCTACGCAACGCCGTAACAAACAACAACGTTGCTAGCGATGTCAGATCAGATGAAGAGTCACCATAGTCAATAGGTGTTAATACGGGCTCAGTACGCAATCGGGCTGTAGAGCTCTCTCTTGACAGGCACACTAACATTTTATAGGTCGCTCACCTAACTTATGCTACTATATGACGTAGAAGTATGGATGTTATCACAGAATGAGAAACCATCATTGGGAGTTTTTGAGAGAAAAGTTTTCTGTAAGACTTTTGGTTCTCTACGGGTTGGCGATGGCGACTGTATCCTAAAAAACCACGAACTGTTCGAGTTTTATTACGACATTGATATAGTTCAGCGAATTAACATCCAGCGGTTTTGTTGGTTTGGTGATTCATGAGAATGGAATAAATGCTCCAGCAAAGAAGGTACTTGAAGTGGTTGTTAGTGAATTATATTCATTTTTAAAGATTTTTCGAATAATAGGTATAGGTAGCGTCATCACTTTATATAACTTCCTGTTCCTTGGCTACGTCTTTAATTAATTTAATTAATTAATCTTCGATTTAAGATCAACTAACGAACAATCTGATCTTTTCCGATAATATTATTCAATTGCTAATTGAACTGGCTGGATCAGACTACTTATTGGTTTTACTTTGCATTTAAAGTAAAAGAAGACTGACTACAAAAATGACCCTGTAAAGTGTAGTCTTCAGTATATCCAACCAATATGGTGACTTTACTCCAAGAAATTTATTTCGAATAATAGGTTTTGGATTGGTTGGGTCATCACTTCATTTGATTACCCGCTCCTTGACTACGCGTTTAATTCAGTACTCGCTGCTGAAAAAAGTGTTAAGCTACATCCAAATCTTTGGTGAAAGTTAAGCTACCGGACAATCCGTTCTCGTCCGATAATATTAACTGATAAGTAGAACGCTGCTCGAACTGGATGGTTGAGACTACTGCATGCGAACAAGGATGATACTGGTAAGTAAGCTTTTAAAGATATGTTTTATTTATTTTTTTTTTCATTTAAGTTTCATCCAATTATCAATTTTAATTAGTTGAAAGTATGTGCTTACTATAATTATAATTTTATTTCGTTATCCATTGTTGTTTATGGTACATACCTATATCTATGTAATCATATAATGAGAGTCAAAAATAATTTATGTATTTTCATTTCAGAGACTGGGA